AAGACTGTGGCTCTTTTTAAGATACAAGTGTGGACATTAAGAGATCTGTTTGAGCAGTCTTTCCAGATGTCTATTATACACATATTCCTCCCAGAAGTGATCATCAATTATGTGGCCTATAAACGCAATCTGTTCTCCCTGCTGGAGGAAATAAAGGATAAATAACTTCAAAACAACACCAACACCACTACCCTCTGCCCTAGAGAAGACAACAGGTTCCTAAAATGGGAGGAATTATTCAGGAAGCAAATCTAAAAAAGAAAAAGTCTCTGAGGAGCAGCAAACATTGAAGGATCTACTAAGTACACGTAAGTGGCAAGAGGGTGAAAAGAAAGAAAATTATTCAAGATCTGCCTCACTCAAGAAACTCTGAGATTTCATGATTGGGTTGCTCTGGCTATCTAAGCATGAATCAGACTTGACTCAAACCTTCCACCTCTTTTAGGTTCTATCTTTAGGCTAATTCAGAGCAGCACTGATCCTGCTTCATCTGGGATAACTGAGCACGAAGAGTGTCAGGTCTGAGTAGAGGACATGGATTTGTGTCCCCACACCATTGCTCCCTAGGTGTACCACCTTAGAATCTAAAGTGTAGGCTCTCAGTTAATGTCTTCTTGAGTTTCTATATTTATTATTTCAATCTGGGGACAGAAATGGGGACAATAATAACTCTTTTTAAATCAGGAGTTCTTTAGTAACCAGGAAGAGAAATTTAATCAAATTAGTTCAGGCAAGAGGAGGTGATTATTAGAACCAGAAAGGGAAATTTCCCAGACTCGAGCAGAAGTGCAGCCGGAGGTTAGGGCACATCGGAAGCGGCAACCTGAAGGAGAAGAGGAATGAGACCAGCAACTTTATCCATCCTGTCTGTCGATCCACATGGTCTCGTGTCTTCACTTCTTCACCAGCCTCTGCTTCACTCCTCTCTGTCTTATTTACACATGGCCCATCATGGTTCCCCAATAGTCCTCTCAGTCCCCAAATCTATGTCACATAAATAAAACAGAAATTCTGATGGCATCAGCTGAGATAATGGGTTCCCTCTAATCATCTGAGGCTGGTGGAGACAGAAGAGGACCATGTGGTAGAATGGCTGTCCTTTTTGAGCGTTAGCAAGAGGATGAGTCCTCGAAAAGGCATGTGAAGTAGAAATTTGAAAATTTGGCAGAAGAAGTGATTGGCACTCTAACCTAACATTCTACCTAACAAGGTTGTTGTGAAGATAAGTGACATTTAGAATACACATGAAAGTATTTTATAACCTGTAAAATACTATATAAATGTACGGTAGTGGATACCTTATACAAAACTCTCAAAGGTTTAATATCTGTGCCACCCTTTAGAAAGAGTAACGCATCTAATTGCTACGGACTCAGAATGACACAAGACTGGGAAACCTTCAGTGAATTAAGAATGTAGAGATAAATCCTAAAAACAGATCACAGGAGGTAGGTATTTTGCCAAAACAAACAGACAAACAAAAACAAAAAACTTAAAGCACTGGGGTCCAAAAGACATGATAGAATTATAAGTGGATTTTCCATTTAAACCTCACATTTCCTCCAGTTTTGTCATGTACTTGTTCCTGACATCAAGGTTGTAGCAAATGGATTTGTATTGCTGGGATTCAAACACTAAACTCCATTTTATAAATGTGTGTCAATCTGTCATCTGAATCCATATTTGCATTTGTACTCTGCTTTTCTTATCTATTCATAAACTCTATGTCTCCAAAGTATTGAGGAATATCATTTAAATACATGACAAAATTTGAAGCCAATGTTTATCAACATAATGCTCAACTGAATTTGTTCTTTTCTGTATTTGTATAATTAGTAAGTTACATTCTTTTATCCTTCTGTGTTAGTATATGATCTTCTTGCTTTCAGATGCTTATATGGAGGATGTAGCAGATGATTCTTGCCAATAATGAAGTAAGAAAATAGATCTTCAGTATTCCTGGCTTCCCTTATATATATCTTTTTTTCTCTGTCTTTGGAATTCTCTGTGGCTTTTATCTATCTTTGAGATATGTAATATCATGCTGCACTAAAAAAAAATCTATTCTCAATAAATGCAGATTGTTAGCCATTTATATCTTAGCGTGAATTTCAGCCAACATGGCTCCTCTCCCAAGGGCATTTGCATATGAAATTTATAATGGAATAAAAATCTTTGCTTTTTAATAAAAATAACCATATGTGGATTTCTTTTTGGTTTTTTTCTTGGTGAGGACATAACCCTTGTCTCTGATGCTTGCTACCTTGACACATACTGAGCTCATCAACTAGGGTGAAGGGTGGCCCTGCACATGGGTGTCTTGTATGTACACGCAGAGGCAGAGCAGCATGAGGATGGGAGATACAGCCAGTTGCATGACAGTCTCAAACAATTAGGTAGATAGTATGGGATGGAGTGGGCAGAGAGTTACATGCAGTTATGCACAGTATACCACTGATAAGCAAAAGAGACCTTTGGGAGCCAAAAAGTAAGTACCCCTAAGATTCATCACATAAAAAATGTTGATAAAATGGGCCATAGGCAAGTGTAAATCTATAACGATAGCATGGACAATGCTTTCTCCCAATGAATACTACCTCATGATTTCACTCCCATGCACGACCATGCATTGTATCAATAGTTGCTGGCCAAACAGCTAAGAAACCATAACTTTTGTTTTATGGTCTTTTGCTTTTGAAACACCTTTCTTTTTGGAAATGCATTGTTATCTATATCTCTATATACATAGATAGAGATATATTCTATAAACTACAGAGAAACCTATTATGAAGACATTTCTCAAGTCCCATCACCCAGTTTAAAAAAAGTTAACATTTTAGAAGTTTAATTTCAGATCCCTCACTCTACAAATATGAGTAGATAAACAGAAAAGTAGCTCTAAATAATTTAAAGTGGTATCTTGTACTAATTTAAAACAAAACCTATTTTGGTATAACTGTACTTGAATTGAATGAGAACAAAAAAGAAACTATTGATCTTTCTTCGTAAGAGAGACTAATTCCTAAAAAATCAAAGACAAAATAAATTTGCACTTTAAGTTATAGCATCTATGGCCTTCTACTCTGAAAGGTTAGGGAAAAAGAAGTACATACCTGTCTAATTCTCATAATTTGGTATTTTTACATTCTTGCATCTATAAATTTCATACTGTGTTCTACAACTGTTGAGTTGTTTAGTCATGGTCTTATATTTAAATAGATTCATTGCTCAGCACCAGGCATTTGACCATGGTTTCTTTCTTTTTTTCATTCATCTCATTGTGGATAGGATTGTATTACTTGTATTCTCAAAGAGGTTGCGTGCTTGACATAACCCGACTTGCCCAAATTCGTCAAGCATAAAATTCATCAGTCATGTTTTCCCATAAAACTTTCTAAGGAAACATTTTGTGAGTTTGTTTCCTCTAATTAAAGTTGTTGGAGATCTTTCGATATCATGACACTTCTTTTAGGGAATATTGCATCCTCTTGACATCTAGGAATATATGTGTTATTTCTTTTCTCTTTTATATTTTGCTTCAGGTTTCCTAGCACTGGGCTGGCATGAGTCATAATTATTATTTGGGTATGGCCAGTTTCTTGTCTCATGTTTTTCTATCTGTATTCATTTTTTGTTTGTTTTTACTGACTTTTACAAAAGAGGAGTGAATTAAAATTTTCATTACTTTGACATCTTTAAGCAAATTTTTTGATAGTTTATAGTAACTCACCAACTCTTTCATGCCAATAGCCTGATTAATGTCATATTATACAAAGAGCAGCTAATTAAGACTAGATTTAGAAAATCAAAACTGTTTATATTTTTAAATTTATATCTCTCTACTTTTGCCTGTGTCTCTCTGTTTTTCACCAGGTCATTTTACTGATTCCCGTCTCTTCATACTTCTGTGAATTTCTGTATATATTACTCTGCCTTTTTCTTACATATTTTCTTCTCCCTTTTGGTCTTCTGAATCTCTCTGATCTGCTCTCTCTCTTCTCCGATGTCATTTTTTATTTCTTCCCTCTTCCTTCTTTTTTCTTCCTCTTTTAGGTTTTCTCCTGGTCTCTTTTTTTCACCTTTGTTTGTTTAGGGTTTTTTCCTCCATCGTTCCCTCCATTCTTCCTTCTTTACCTTCATTCTATATTTCTTCCCCTTCTATCCCCCTGAATTGGCTGTGATTTGAGTTTAGTATCTCCTGTTTTACTAAATAAAAATTATGGCCCTTGTTGGTTGATTCATGTTTATTTAAGAAAATATTGTTTCTTTCCTTTTTAGGCTGCGATTCACTGATATTTGTATCAGTGTTCCTTTGAAGCAAAAGAGTTTTAAGTTTCTGTCCTTAATCATCTTCTTTTACTGTGAATTGCTGTCTACTTTGAAGTTACCATTTATTAATTAATACCATGACTTTCAAGTCCAAAACTCAAATTTTAATTGTAAGGATGTAACTATTTTTTACACGGCTTTAATAACAAAGCTAAATTCCTGGCACTGGGGGAGAAATTGTAAAGAACCATATTTTTTTACCCTGCCTTTTCAATAGAAGCTAAGTTTGTACATGGATAAAATGAGGAAAAAAGCAGGGAATACAAAGTATTCTTTTTCACTCATTGTACACATATTTGGAGTCAATTCTTTTTAACTTCTTTCTAAATGATTTTCTGATTAACAAGAATTTCCTTAAGTCAGAATTTTTATGCCATTTTGAATTCATTATCACATGCAACTCCAAAAATTCTTTCTCTTTGATTTACCATCTTTCACTTCCAGCTCAAACTTTCCCATATCACTCCCAATCCTGTCTACAAAAGAGGTTTACAGTATCTATGGGTCAGTTAGAAGTGGGAAGAATGATTTTGGGTGCCTGCTAATAGCTATTGTGCAATACAATATATCTTAGAAATGCAGTTGTAAATATAACATTTTTATGTTATACTTGTATATGTTATGTTTTTATTTCACACATTTGTTGACAAAGGAAATAAATGTTGCCTTACCCCCTCGCTTGTTGATCTTGGCATAGCCGGGAAAATAGCTCCCAGACATAGAGGACGAGCTGCTGAAAGCTCCATGGGGAAGTCCAGACACGAGGGGTTCATCACATTTTTCTGAAAAGAAAAGAGATTCAATAAAGATCTTTAAATAATCATTGGTGTGTTTTTGTTAAAATAGTTATTGAATATAGTACAAATTTAAAAATCTATGCTACAACATTTAGCGAATGATAAGAATTTAGGTAACTCAATTATGGTAGTTCTAATAACTCATAGGAACAGTTTACACAACTTTCTAATTTTTGAGAGTTATAACCGTGACAAAGTGCTTTATTCCAAATGGCCTCAACTCAGACCTGCTATCAAGAATCATCCAAGAGTAAAGCTGATGTTGTTTGTTTAACAAGCTTTGGAATCTGGCATCTTCTGGAAATCTTAAGGTATCTAGGCATTATTGGGGTATGGATTTAGAAATGTTGACTAGAAACATTGAGATTGGAGGAAGGAAGGCTAGGAGGAATCCTACCAGATCTAAAAGACTAAGAAATAGGTGTTAGTAAGGGAGAACACAGAAAAATCACCAAATTGAAAAGCACTGCCATCTGAACAATTTATCAATTCCCATCATACTTGACCAATCAACTGCATTGGAACCAGGAGGTCCCTCAAGTCTATTCCTACTTGCTTCTATAGTGCCATTAGCTTTTTTTTCCTTTTGCCTCACTTCCTACTTGCTCTCTGATTCCTTTGATGGCTCTGTTTCATTTTCCTAATGTCTAACTGTTAAAGTGCCCAGGACGCAACTCTTAGATCTCTTCTCAGTCTACTCTCGCTCTCTGGGAGATCACTTCAAAGGCTGTGTCTTCTCATACTGGAATATCCCAAATACCACCACCTCATATCACCTGGTCCAAGCAGCCCTCAGTGACCACTGTTGTGAAAGACTGATGAGTCTTCCTGCTTGCTCCCTTGCTATAGTCCTTCTGCACACAGCAGCTGAAGGGACGTTTTTAAAACTGTGAGTGGGTCATGTGGCTCCTGTGCTCAAAATAGCCACTGGCTTCTGTTCTCAATCACTAAGAATAAGTCTGAAGCCCTCCAACGGCCCACAGAGGCCACTGCACTGGTCACATCTCCTTCTCTCATCCTTGTCCACTACTGTCCAGCCACAATGGCCCCCTTCCTCTCCACTTCCTTCAATAACAAGCCTGCTCCTGCCGTGGGCCTTCAGGATTACTATTCCAGCTACCACAAGTCTCACCCCTCACTTCTACTAGGCTCTGTTCAATGTCACCTTTCACTACTGCAGACAAGCATTCCTAGTCACCCAGCTAAAAAAGCATGATGCTGTCACCATCCTCTGTTTCCACGTCCTGCTTTATTTTCCTTCATAGCATTTAGAGCCAACTGACATATTATGTTTTCACTCTTTTAATTGTTTGGTTGCTTTTCTCTCCCACTGGACTGGAAGCACTATGGGAATAAAATTTTTGATAGTTTGCTTACTGCTTACTCTCCAATGATCTGAACAGCACCTGGCACTTGGTACACACTCCAAAAACATTTGTAGAATGAATGAATGGAAGAAAACAAGAACCAACTAAACCTGACAAACTTCAAAGGGTCCCGAAGCACACTGCTGAATTACAGCATGGCACAACACTTAATTTTTAGAGAAGTGATCTTAAATGCTCAACAAATGTTTATACATGCTCAGTACTCTGCTTAATAAGACAGAGAATTACACTGTATATTCTAGAATGGTTCCAATCTCAGATATTTATAAACAGAAAAAAACTTGAGCAATAGAAGGAATGAACTAGTTTTCTTGAAAAGTCACTCAAGTAGAGTTAAATTCCCCATGATACTGAGGCAATGAATCATGACATTATCTCGCCACTCACGTGTGTACAAATTTGAAGTTAAAATGAACGAATTCATCTGCCTAAAACGTTGTTCGATTTCTTTTTTTCTTAGCTATAGTGCAAGTGCCTCTGGGAAATATGGCATGTGTGTATGACTATAAGCCCCAAGAAGTTAATTGTACAAGAATGAAAAGATGAACACAAAATTTATTTTAAAAGTATCAGTTCAAAAAGTGGGCATGCAGGCCGGCCCTGTGGCTTGGTGGTTAAGTGCGCGCGCTGCGATGCTGGCAGCCCGGGTTTGGATCCCGGGTGCGCATCGAGGCACCACTTCTCTGTCCATCCTGGGGCCGAGTCCCACATACAGCAACTAGAAGGGTGTGCAGCTATGACATACAACTATCTACTGGGGCTTTGGGGGCAAAAAATAAAATAAATAAAATCTTTAAAAAAAAAAAAAAAAAGTGGGCATGCAATGTGAAGGGTTTTGTATTAATTGTTAAAAAATTTACTTTTCAGTTTAGCTGCCAGTGAACACAGATATAAAATCTTGATTTCCTTCCTATCTTCTGACTCTTTGGAATCTAACTTGTATTCTTTTGACATAAGTTCTGCATTTAGCTGGAGTGACTTCTAAAGCATCCGTTATATTAAGAATGTGCTAATATTCATTCATTTTCATTTCGTTCATTCAAATATGCACCAGGCTCTGCCAGGCATGGGAAATGCAGCGTTGGGTGAAATTGACAACGTTCCTGTCCTCGTGGAACTTGTGTTTTAGTGGAAAGAAACAAACTAACAACTCAAAGGTAAATGTACTGTATGAGATGGTGATAAACACTACAGAGACACAGTAAATGTGAAAGGGGGCGGGGAGCTTGGGGGGTAAGGTGGAGGTTGAGAGAATTGTTGTTTTTTGCTGCTTTGGCAAGGAAAAGCCTCTTGAATCAAGTGACATCTGAGCAGTAATCTGAAGGAAATGAAGAGGTGAGCCCTGTTACAAATCAACAGGAGTGTGCTGGGAGAAACCTCAATGAATGATGCATTTTCCAAAAGTAAGCACTCCAAGCATATATTGTTACATTGAAAGTAATTAAAATGAAGTTGATGAATAATTGATTAAAGGACCCATTGGCTAATTAAATACAGCATTTATAATACTGAAGATAGTTTATCCTTATTATATGTTTAAAAATTTGACTTCTGTAACAAACTGATCATTTAAAATTTTTAATAGCAAATTTAAAATTTTTCACTAATTTTAAAAGATCATTTAATTCAGAATAACAAAATTAGAATACAACTGGGTTCAAGAAAGATAAGAGCATATGAGAGATTTTTTTTTGTAAAATGTGGCTGTAGAATTTTTATCAGAATTCAAGCTTTGGCAATCTCACATTCTCCTAAATTGAGACATAAGCTATAACCGTGTAATCAAGTAAGAATAATGCTACATTTACATTTATATATATATATATATACACATATCCCTATATATATGGTATGTATAGCCCATTCCTCCATGAGGGGCAAAAATATGTGGACCCATATAAAGTAATCAAACATGAAACAACCAGAGAATAATACCAAACCGTTTGTAATTTAACGCTGAATAGAATATAATCAAATACTGAAAGTAACAGCTAAATTAAAAATGCAAGGCTGTTGTTTAGGTGAGTTGCTTGTCAGTCTTGGCTCTGCTATAAATGTGTGACCTTGAGTATATGTCAATTAACCCCCTACCTACACGATTCACACATAATATGAGAAAATTAGCCAAGTTTCTCCCAAGCTCTAAAAACTCCAAGCATTGTCAAGCACAGGAATCCACAAACTGTGTCCGACAGGCCAAATTTGGTCCACTGCTCGCTTTTGTAAGTAAAGTTTTATTGGAGCACAGCCGTGCTCACTCGTTTACGTATTGCTTATGGCTGCTTTGCATGCAACAGCAAAATGTCGCAGAAGAGACCATATGGCCTCCAAAGCTAAAATATTTACTGTCTGACTTTTTACAGAAAAAAGTTTTTCAACCTCTTGTCTAGTATAATAAATATTCCGGGTATCTAGGAAGAAGAATGATTAATGATCACTATGGTATCAGGTAATATATAAATAATAAATAGGACCTGAAGAATTGAGGGAATATAGATAGGTGAAAAGAGGTTTAAGAACATTCTAGGGAGAAGGAACAGCCTAAGAAAAATCATGGAGGCCGCAATGGGTGTGAAATTTCCCAGTGATGGTGGAGCAGCACACCATGAGTGCACATATTGCCATGTTGACTATTAGGATGGACTATCCATTTTTATTCCCAACTGTAACAATTGTTATTACACATTACATATTCCAATAGTCAGCTTGCTTATTGTGCTAGAACATGTGTCTCAATATTCTGTAGACATTAAATACTAGGAAATCGGGCAAATCCCTGGAGGAAATTAGAATTTTTATAGAGTAGTAGAGAAATGAGAGACACGGGGGGGAGAGAGAGAATACTAACGTGAAATAATTTAGCATTCTATTTTCCCATACTGGGATGTCTTCCAAAACTATGGACACACAACTATGGCAAATATTTGGTCTCCAGTGTACTTCCCTTCCAGGGAATCTTGGACGAAAACTAGAGGAGCAGATGGGCTTTGAGTTTTATTTTCACACAATTTCAGTCAATCAGGAAGGCAGACTTGCTGTAAGAATTCTGTACCAATTCAAGCTGGAACTGAGGAAATTATTGGCAAATAAAGATGAAATGACTGTTGCCCTTCACCTAAGAGATCGTGGCTGAGAGGAATCTCTACTGGCACGGGATATGGGCAGGAGTTTGCAAGGTCAAAGGACTTCAGAACACATGTAATTAACATTAGAGATGGCCTTCAAATGTATCTCTGATTGAAAATAACATTGGAAAATTTTACAACACAATATTCTTTAAAATTATAGTACTAAAATATATGCTTTATATCACACATTTGGAAACATAAGCCTAATACACAGAAAAGGACTCCAGAACCAAACAGTGCTACCAGGAAGAAATTCTAGCAACATCCTCATTTATACTTTAGGAAAAAACCATTGTGAAAGGCACATTCTCAGTGGAATGCATCACTCAATGGTCTCTTTATGTCCTGTACATTCAATTCTTAATTTTTGAAGCTGGAACTACGTTACCTCTACCTGCATGTTTGCCCTGCCTCAGGTTTTATGATGTTCCTCTCCGTAGGACAAATTTAAGAAGCCAGACCT